CCTTCTCAATCTTCTTCTCTCTTTGGTCGTTCTCCCTCATCTCCTCTCTGTTGTCATCACCGCCTTCCTCCTCTGGTCTCATATGCTCCATGTTCGTATCACATACCTTACAGTTTCAGACTTTCAATGTTTACTATTTGGTCATTGAGATTTACCATACATTCATATTAATATATATATATATATATATATATATATATATATATATATTTCTTCAGACTTTTACGGTAGTCTAGACTGTTTAGATATGAGATTAATTTTAATGCCACAAATGAGCTGGCTCTGATTAATTATGACTTCAATTTCCTCTTTCCCTTTCAAATAGATTCAAGTTATTGCAATTGCAAATGCGTCGGTCTAATTTCTATTATTGTGATCGGATTATTCGTCTGCATAGTATTTTGGAGTAGTTTTGGTATTAATGGTTAACTCCTTCTTTTTGTTTTAAGGGTAGTTTTGGTATATTTTTAAAAATTAACTCCGTTAACTTTAACTTGGATGGAAAATCAAGTTAGGGGGCAAGTGATAAAAAAAGTTTAAGAAGGGGTGTAAATGACTACATTTTTTGGAGAGAGGGGTAAGTGATTCTGAAGAAACTTACAGGGAGGTTTTTGAAGTTTTTCCAAGAAATTTTAAGTAGGGGGTAAATGATTAAAAATTTCGGAAAGGGGGTTAAGTGATTTTAAGGAAACTAGTAGGGTTTTTTTTTTAAGTTTTCCCAAAACAAAAGTATACGTAAAAGAAAAGAAAGCGTCCTACAATGGTTAAAATTATTTTTTTAACTATGTACTTCCGAAAATATATAGTTAAACAATGGTTGCAGGAATGAACAGTATCATTTCTACAACGTGATTCTTATATTTCCATTAAACAAATCTCATTCTTGACTTGAATTATCAAGCTTGGATTTTACAATATTTTCCACTTTTCTTAACAAGCACAACAGAAAAAGTTCTCTAACCTTGTTTGGATGGATAAAATTAGCCGCAGCAGCGTTTTCAAAATTGCCTTGCAACAATTGATAAATCTATAAAATTGTAGGCATGTTAAAGACTGAATACTACTTTATATTGATATAGTTTTCAACGGACCCAACATTAAATCCTTTTTAGTATAAATAGTGATTTTATAATTTAAGCAAACACATCATAAAATATAAGAAAATCCAGAAACTAATCTCAAGAGATCATTTAAAATATTCTAAATAATATTGAGAAATAATCAAAATATATATTATTCGATGGAAAGAATTCTCACTCTCAAATCTTTTATTTATTATAATTATCATATTTATTCATGAAATCATTGAAGAAAATGTAGCCATAAAGTCCAACTATGGAGGATTTTTTAGTGAGCAATATTGTCAAGGATGTTATTTTACTATGACTAATATTCCTTATATTGTATAGAAGTAAGTTTGTACAAATAATAATAAAATTTTAAATCTATCAAGAAAATCTCAACACATAGGCGAGTTGGTAAGGCAGGGCGGACTAACTCGTTTGTAGACGGGTTAATGCTGAGACGGATTGCCCATTTTGCGATCTTGTATCCTTAATTCTTTCTCTAAAGTTGGAGCGGTAAAACAAGATGTGAACTAGAAAAATCAAATTGCTTATTGCCTAATATTTTAATCTAAAAAAATGGAGTTGATGATAAATCCAAATTTATCCTTCTCTTGCAATACATTTTTCATGACTTGTTTAAATTATCCGATGAATAAACAAAAAATGGGAATGTAAATATATGATTTATAGGTTTTATTTTTTTATCCCAACATTACTATTCTTAGCTATGGTATCAAAATCACTTGATACGAGGGCTTATATCATACCGGCTATAGGATACATTAGTTGAAGCTAGAATAGTTTTGTCATAAAGTTTGATATGTTTAACATAGGAACTAAGATTCGTTCGTCTTTTTACAGAGAAAAAAATTAATTTTTATATACTAAATTACATTTTATTCTTGAGATTCAATTTAAAAGTATTTTTTATAAAAGATGTAACAACCTTTGTATGCATCCAAGAATTTTACTATTAATCGCATTCGAGTCTTTAATTAGAGAATACAAAGCATCTACAGTTCAAATATAAAATATACAGTGCAGATCGCTTACAATCGGAAGCCTTAGGCATACGCAAATCTTACCTTTCTAGCATTTTTCCCTTTTAATATAATCCCTAAAGTTCTGTTCAGTATCATAAAAAAATAAGCAGACTAACAAGTGAGAAAAGTATCATTTGAGTACCTAGGGTTATAGTTATAACTCTCTGCTGTTAGAAAATAACAATAGACAGGGCCATGTACTCTTGTCTGTCGTAAGAACTCGTGTGTGCTCCGATTGGTTTGAAAATTAATAGGCAGTAACTAGAGGAACAAAGCTTTCGGGAAGCTTTGGAATCACTCAAATCGGAGGTCTGTGGAGCAACTTATGAATTTCTAAAGTAGGCTTTCTATGACCAAAAACGTGAGTGAAATCACTGAAATTCCTCCTAACTTAAATGGTGAACGGTTAATCATAGGTGACTCTAAAAATTGAAAGATTTTAATACATGCTAGGTAAAGATCTTATCGTTAAATGCAACAAGTTTCGTAAGAGAAAGACGTCCATGGAATTTACAGTGTCCATTATACTACAGCTGTCTAGATTTATTAAGTTCTGTTAACAGCAATCCAACCATTCTGAATTACCTTCCATTAATCATTAAACTGTATCAATTCCTACATTCAATGACCTTGAAATTTTTACCAAGTAAACTACACATCCATATCTTTAAAATGGCGTATATTTTACAATTTTTGAACACTTAGAACTCTAGATATGAATTTCTTAAAAACGGATAAAGAATCTGGAATATTGATAGCCATGGGACTGCTTTTATACATACACAATTAAATTTCATTCAGCTACATTACCAAAGTTCCTACCTGATTTCTCACAAGCATCATCTTTACACAACATATACATACATATCAGATTGGCTACCAGATCTACTAAAATTACTGTACTCAAAATAAAGCTACTTAGCAATTTAACAAAATATGCATGTTCATTTCTCTAGTTATAGATCAATCAACAGAACAGTCCTCATGCCAGCATGCTTAACTCATATAAACCATCAAAATAGCAGCCCAATAAAGGGTGAGATAAACTCAATAAGTGACAACATTCCTTTTCTTACATTAAAGTCCAGCATGACAACAAGGCATAAAACACATCAGCATATACACATAAACAAGAGCCAACTTGTCACATACACATAAAACCATGGGGAATCAATCCCAACCCATATCTCTAATCACGGGGAATCACTTAACCCATACCTTCAATCACGGGGAATTAATCTCAACCCATATCTTTAATCACGGGGAATCACTCAACCCGTATAAATCATTCCTGTAACAATATATACACATGGCATTTTACACACAAGGTCATGCAAGTCATTCAATGCAATCAAAGGAAGCTACACACTTACATTGAAGGCCGGAATTCAAATTAGTAATTTACTTCTCCTTTGTTAATTCCTTGAGGTCACCAACTCCACTAAGTAGGCTTCTTCCATATGGACAAATTCAGCTATCCACCCTTAATGCTAGACTTCGACTCCCTTCTTGTGTTGTTCCACGAGGTGTGATGTGAGAAGGCTTAGGTAAGGCTTTGGTTGAAGAATTTCAATCATGCAAAAGGATGTTTTGGCTTTAGAGTCTACAAGAAGAACGAAAAACAAACGAGAAGGTGGAGAGTGTCTAGGATTGGTCTTCTTGATGGGTTGGTAGTGTTTAGGCAGAGTGAAAGTTTGAGAAGGTTGAAGCTTCTTTGGTTTTACCTAAGAGGTTTCCTTTCGAGAGTTGATTATCTTCAAGTCCTAGACCTTTTTATGATTCAACTCTCTCCTATTCCTTAGTTTCTGTATGATATATATCAGATTGCACATTAGCGCTATAGCCTCCTTATTCCTAATCTTTTCAGCAATTTCGGAAAGAAGACAAGTGGAGAAGTTTGCTGGATCAATTTGGTACATGCAGAATTTGGGTCATGCAGGAGTTCTTGGGTGTGAGAAAAGGAAAAGTTTTTGTACTAGAGATAGAATGATGAAGAAGGTTAGTGTTGGCTGTTATAGGAGTATGATAATTAACGAGAAGTGAAGGATTACCACGAGGCTTAGAGGGTAGGAGACTTAGTGGGTGAAATATAATTCTGCCACCCCCTCATTCGTATGCATCAACTTGATTTGCATCAAGTGGTCAAAATAGATAGAATAAACAGTTATACACACTCTTCTAAAATCTGAAAATAGAGTTTTCTTATTTAACAATTTACCCTAAACTTTGACATTTGAGAGTTTTGCCTGTTATTTTTGGTATTTTGTTTTATGCCACAACACACTATTTTTGTATATTAGAAGAAATACTTATTAGTTGTAAATAATTGTTGAAAAGGAACCAAAATAATTAACAACAGCTTCAATGCAATATTTAACAAAAACGCAAAAATGACGCTTTTGGACTTAAAATTCTGACAAGATGGCTTACCAAAAAAAAAAAAAAAATTCGGACAAGATGAAGGAGTGACACGGCCAGAAAGATTATATGGTAGTGATTGAATAATATTGCGATCACTTGCGCATTTGTGGTCAAGTGCACAAAAGTAGGTCCACCACTGGTCAGGTACCCCGTCAAAGCTAGTAAAAAAGAAACTGACAATGTGCAACACCAATAGTATGTGCACCCAAAAGAATTACCATTTCCTCTCTTGTTATGTCTTTTCTAGCAAAAAAAAAAGTTGAATTGTAAAGTGAGGAAAAATAATAAAGATTGCCAGTTATAATAAGCTAATATGACCACAAGTGCGAATTATGCATTAAAGTGACAAAAAAAATATGAATTGTCAGTTAAAGGGACAACATAAGCCAATAACTGGCATAAGCCGATATGCGTTAAAGTGGCAAAAAAAAAAAATTATGTCGGACAGTTGCAACTAAGTAGGTCCGCCAATGACTATATTACTATAACAATAACTGAATAATTATACAAATATAGTGATAAATACAAGGGTCCTTATTCCTATAATTTCATGATTCGGTTATTCTTATATAATCATCCTAGTCGCTATTTATATAGTTTGCAACAGTAACCTTTTTCTGACCCAAATCATGTAGTATCACATTCTTTCAATGACTACAAATGCAATGATAAATGGATGGGGAAATGACATCCTGCATGCATTTCAGAAGTGTCTCTAAAAGTTTACACGAAGCCAAAAACAAAATAAGGAGGTGTGCCTGGAGAAACTCAGATTCCTTGAGCAACATCCAGAAGATTTAGAACATATCCATATGATCTTAACTGAATTGTCAATGCCCACAATGCCCTGTATATATTCTCTGTCTCAGGATGTCTCTCATCCAAGGAATAGAATTCCACCACACTATCATTGACCTCAATAACGCTACATCCTGGCAATTTCCTGAACCCAGTATCTCTCATTGCAATCTTCAATCTGGCAACATCTTGCCATCGTCCTAGATCCTTATATATGTTTGAAAGCATGACAAAGTTTGCAGGGTTTTTTGGTTCAAGTTCAATGAGCCGCTGAAGAGCCAGTTCTGCTATTTCAACATTCTTGTATATCCTACATGCCCCAAGTAGGGCAGCCCAGATAACTGCATCTGGTTTCATTGGCATCTTTCTCACATAATTTACAGCCTCCTCTAAGAGACCAGCTCTTCCTAGTAAATCAACCATACATCCATAATGCTCAATTTGAGGCACAATTGAATAATGATCAACCATTGATTGGAAATATGAAAAGCCATCCCTGACTAATCCCATGTGTGTACAAGCAGACAAAATCCCAACAAAAGTAACCCCATCCGGTTTTTCTCCTGCATTCTTCATCTGATCAAATAAACTCAAGGCATCAGCTGCATGCCCATGCATGGCAAGGCCATTAATCATGGTATTCCAAGTAATTATATCTTTTCTATCTAGGCAATTGAACACACCAAATGCATTTTCTATAATCCCACATTTTGCATACATGTCAATCAAAGCATTTCCAACAAACAGGTTTCCCTTATACCCAATATTATCTGCATATACATGCACCCACTTACCCATATCAAGGGCCCCCAATCTTGAACTTGCAGACAGCACCGTCACAAGTGTGAAATCATTAGGAAGAAAATCACCTTCGACCAACATTCGTTTAAAAGACTCTAAAGCATCAGAAAAAAGGCCATTACGAACGTAGCCTCCAATAAATGCATTCCAAGAATAGACATTCCTTTCAGGCATTTCTCCAAACATCTTCTCTAGCGATTCAACATCCCCATTTCTTGCATAACCATTCAACATGGTGTTCCACGACATCACATCCCGGTTCGGCATCTTATCAAAAAGTTCTCTTGCAGCCACCATATCACCCAATTCAATATAACCCGAAATCACAGTGTTCCACAGGACAACATCACGCTCAGGCGCCAGATCAAAAAGGCACCGCGCAGAAACCATGTCACCGCACGAAATATATGCACCAATGATAGCAGTCCAAGCAACCACGTTCCTCTCATACATTTCCCCGAACACCTTATAAGCATTCCCAGTGGATCCCCATGTTGAATACATCTCAATCAACGCAGTTCCCGCAAACTGGTTTGACTTAAAACCGCATTTCACAACCAAACAATGAACTTCTTCTCCTTCTCTCACAGCATTCATCTTCCCACAAGACTTCACAACCATAGGCAAGGTGAAGCAATTTGGCAACGCCCCATGGCGATTCATTCGGCCAAACAAAACGACAACTTCCCAGTAACACTTAACTCGGGAATACCCTCTGAACATGACATTCCATATGGCAGTGTTTGGTTCAGCCATTTTATCAAACAGCTTACGTGCATGACCCATTCTATTGAGCTGCGCACAAGCCGTGATGAAACTAGGTGCGACGTAATCGTTGTGCTCGAGTCCATGAATCACTACTTGTCCTTGGATTTGGTGAAGGTGTTTACAATTTCTACATGATCGTAACAGGGAAATGAACTTGTCTTCCACAACTATGTGCGGTGGCTTCGGGACTAGGTTCAACAGAACCTTCACTATTTTCGTTTGAAGAGGCTCCACCTTATTGTGCTGCTTCCACTGGTGGCCGTTGATAATGTATCAAAAAACAGATCAATGGCATGTAGAGCATTACCTGGAACCTTTTCAAGAGGTAATGGCCAAAAATAGTTTTTTAGAGCAAGTTCATTTGCAGGCAACGCGGGATCCAATCAAACACATGAATATCATATCATACGACAGGTATTAGTATTACCACCTTCCATTTAAATTTTCTTCTCGTCGCAGCAGAAAGTTTGATTAACTTCAAAGCAAACACCGTAGTGAAAATCCATCCTTTTGAAAGACAGAATTTGACTTTGGGTGCTGAAGGAACAAAATATCTTACTCTAACGAACACAAAAAAAAACCCTGTAGCCTCTACACAGGAGGCGGCGCTCTGGAATCGGAATTTTGTTTTAAGGGAAATGTTTTTGTTATGTTGTTGGATATATATATTTTATGTTAGTGAAACAAAATTATAACAGTTAAGTAATTGGAGAGAAAAAAAATAGAGATGGAACTCACCTTTGTTATGTATAGGTAGGAATTTGGTTATCTCTTGTTGTTGAAGGAGACAAATATAATCCTTTTTTTTAATGCTACTGAAGCACCTGGCAACCATGCACGGACACGATACGAATACGTTAATTTTAAAAAATATAAAATTTTGACACGTCGATACACGTTTTGATATTAAATAATATTTTTAATATATATAATATAATTTATATTTAATACATATAATAATTAATAATAATTCATATACTAATCAAATATTCAAATTTCATAACATAATTATTAAAAAAAAAATAGAACATCTCAAGAAAAATTGAAAAATTTCAATTAACCGACTTTTTTCTAATAATATAATATAATATTCTAATTCTACCACTTTCTACTAACTTTCATCTTAGCAACCGACATGCTTTTCTTTCAACTTGTCTTTCTTTTTCATTAAATTATTTGTTTAATCTTTTTCTTCTTTTGACCAATTCAACTTCCATTTCTTTCAAGAACTCTATGATATGGCGGTCTGGTTGCTTCTTTCATTTTTCATTGGTGTGTAACCCATACATCTCATAGCTTTCGGAATTCTCTAGTTCTTGATTCTTCTAGGATGACGGTGGATGATTTCTAACATCTCTCTCTTCAACTTTCCAAAACTCAGAGCTTCAATAAATCTTGTGTTAACGGTTTACCTCCAAACTAACACTAACATCACCACCACCTTTTCCTCTTCCATTTCCCTTTCATTTTCTCTCCATCTTCAACATGAAGAAGCAGAAGTGCGTTGAAACGCAGCGTTCGAACTCGAACCCGACGACAAAGAGAAGGACCAGCCTCCAGCGTTACTGAACGAGAGAGAGCATAGGGTTCTAGAGTTTTTAATTTTTATTAAATATTTTTTTAATTGTAATTTTATTTCTTTTTTACAAAAAAATATCAAACGCGTGTCGGATTCGATAAAATACGCGTGTCCCACTAGTCAACGTGTCCCAAAAAATTAACTGCGTGTCGAACGCGTGTCGGTGTCCGACACGTGTTCTGACACGTGTCCGACACGCAAATTTCTCTAAAAATCACGTGTCCGTATTTCAGAGTCTAGCGGAACTAGATACTCTTTTTTGCTGAAAAGTAAAAGTTCAAAAAAAAAAAATTATTCATATTTTTTTTATTTAAAAAAAAAAATTTACTCTCAACATAGATGTACCTATAGTTGTTACACCCAAAGTTTTATTTATTTATTTTTTTATAGCCAAGTTTTATTCTTAAATTGTGAATAGATCATTTTATTTTGGAAAAATAAACTGGTTTTTAAAATAAAATTTCTTAGAGGTATTATATTTTTTTAAATAATCTATTTTTAAACATGCACAATTATGGAAACATCACCACCAATTTAAAATAATCATGTTACGTTTATATTGTCTCCCGATTTACTTGTTCGAAAACCAGGCACAAGTTGCAGCAACCATTCCAGTCCTTGTTAGGTCCTACAATATCTTTTCATAAAACAAAAGGTTATTATGTGTGTTCCATAAAAAGTTTAGAGTCATATTAACTAGGATTTTAAAAGATTTTTTTTTAGATAAATTTTTTTATAGATTTTAAAAGATTATTTAAAATTGAAGAGATTTCAAATATTTTTTTACAATCAAGATTTTATATGATTGAATTTTAAAAGATTTTAATAGAATTTATAAGATTTTAAAAAATCATATAAATTTTTAACAAACATTCAAAATTACAAGAGTCAATAAAAAATAACAAAAAAATGCAATGAAATTAATAAAAAATAAAAAATAAAATAATTTTCTCATTCAGTAAAACATAATATAATTTTTAACAAGCATTCAAAATTACTAAGCAACAACTCTCTACATATCTAAATCTATACTAGTTCTCCATGCATTAGCATTTTCTCGTTCCTGCATTTGGGTTTGACCAATGAGTTGAAAATTATCTTCTTTATTTGATATCAGAGCTACGCATATATGATTATAAGACCCAATTTTTGTTTACAAAAAAAAAAATAGACCTAATTTTTTTTATTTATTAAAATAGGGCAAAGTTATATTTACAAACTTTTTGTTTACAAACTCTTACAAACTACAGTATGTACTCTCGGAAATACACTAGGCTACACTATGTACTTTCGGGAGTACATAATGTAATTTGTAAAAATTTGTAAAATTATTTTGTAATCCTTCCAAATTAAAATAATCCTAAATTTACATATAGAACCTAAAGTTCATGATAAAATTTTGTTTGAAATTTTTTGCAATTGATTTTGGAAACCTTGGGATTTTTGTTATACGTGATGAGAGTTTTCTAACCATATATCAAATGCATGTTTTCATTAAGTATTCTAAGAAAATTTCGAATCTGAATTTCTGGGTTTTATTACACTAAAAGGTTAGAAAATTTCTCAAATTATTTTCAATCAATACATTAAAATCTTAAATTGCTATGGGTCTTTCAAAAAACAAGATTTTAATTATCTATTGACACAAAAATTGTTTGAAATTATTTCCTATAGCAAAGGAATTTCGTTCATAAATGTATTATAACAAAATATAAGGTTTATGAAAGTTTAATTCTTTCTTTAAATTAATATTGTTTCATTGATGTAAAATGAAAATTAGTTTGAAAGTTTTAGTGTTCCTGGTGTTTTTTCGTTGTTTTATGTTGTTTTTAATTCAAAAATCACATATTTTTGTGTCATGAAAAATTGCGACCCATGGTTTGAAAAATCATTTTTTAATCCTGCAAAAGCTCCCAAAAATCGCTCAAAAATTTGCTGTTTTGAGATGAATTATATTAGAATGTTGTTAGTTTGTTGTTTCTGTGTTGTTTTGTAATGAAAATCGTTAAAAAATTTGCTATTTTTGAGCTTTAACGAAACTCCCATGGTGGAACCCAGTTTGAGTGGGTCAACCCGCCAAAGGAAGAAGAAGACACTGCAATAGAGAAATTTCAAGAGGGGTTAGTTAGGGTGAGATTGTGAGAGAAACATCTATTTATATTTTTCACTAAAAAATCTTATGAAATCCACACCAATAGAAAATTCATTAAAATTGTAAGATTTTTGAATACCACAAGATTATTTTTCCTTTGTTTAAAATTTTGATTGAATACCAATGGATTTGGACAGACTCTAAAATAATCTTTTAAAATCCTAATCAAGTATCACGTGACTTTTTTTCAATCCTTTAAAATCCTAATTGAATACCAATGGATTTTTTTGTCCAAAAATTATAGATTAAAATTCTTTGAAATCTCAATCCCATACACTCACTCAGTCTCTTTTTACCAAAAAAGTAAAAATAAATTCCTTCTCTCTTTTAAGTCTCTATAATATCTTTGGAAGGAGCAAATATGTAGTGGTCCAAGACTATTGGTCCCTCATAGGAGGTTTGTTGTAGTGGGCCGGGTATATGTGAGCCCGTTTCAAAAATAGCAAATGATAGGGAGTGAGAGAGAATTTTTAAAGAAGTGAAGGATTGAAAGGGAATAAAAAAAATTTAAAAATAGAAGGACCACAAAAAAAAGTGATATCAGGTCACTTTAAAAAATTCCCCCTCACATAGAGAAAGGGGAGAAGAGAGGAGAGAGAGAAAGAAGGAGAGGGACTACTGAATTTATTTCCCTTTGTAAGAGAGTAACTTGCTACAAGTTCTCTAAGAAGCTTAATCTCCACTAACATGTTAAACATGAAAGAATATGTCCATCTTCCTAGTTTGATCATTATGCTCTTCGTGCTACTAACTAGCCATGAACACAGAATGTAGAGTAGTACTGAGCCTTACTCAAGGTGCAAAGGTGGCATGAATAGCATAAACAAACTAGATCTAGATTTTGCCAACTAATGCAAGATGAAGTTGCTTTCAGAGTTAGGATCTTAGCAATGGTGCTTTAGCTATGGCTGAAGGTGAACTAGAAGGTCTCTTGTTGAATTCTCTTCTTAATTTTTCCATTTCCCTTTTTTTCTCTGTGCCTCTGCCTTTCTTCATTTATAGACGACATTGCTTCCATATCAAAGACGGACACAGACGGGCTAGGGTGGACCGCTGCCCCCTTAAAATTTGAAAGAAAAAAATAGGAAGTTCACCGCTGCTTTTCTTGCTTACCATCCCCTCACTGCATCCCAATACCTTCCCAACTTGTTCACTATCTCAAAGATCACTCTATCTTCGCGGCAGGAGTGTGTAAAATAATCAAAAAACTGAACCGAACCATGAATAGAACTGAACCGCCCTTAAAATAATCGATTTTTAAAAATCAGTTCATGAACCAAACTGGTTTTTAAAGAACCAGTTCATGAACCGAACCGATTTTTAGAACCAGTTTAAGAACCGAACCATTTTGAACCGATCCGTTTTCAAACCGAACCAATTTGATTTTTATAACTTGATTTTTTAAATTTTTAATTTTTTTCTTTATAAAAGAGGGTCGACCCGAACCGGTTTCGAACCGAACCGAACAGTTTTCAACCGAACCGAATTATTTTCGAACCGAATCAGTTTTGAACCGAACCGGACCATTTAAACCAATTCGGTTTGATTTTTCAAAAAATTCAGTTCGATTCGACCCATGAAGATCCCATGCTCCCAGGTATCAAAATATTATCGTAAACTCCTGTCCTACTATACAACCATGGGTCTGTTTGAAAACAAGGGACATGTCGCATTATTCACATTATGGCTGACGGCATGTTTGTTCTGTGCCAATGTTTATGGTGTTTTTGGTCCTTAGATTTTGCTATTATTGAAAGAGCATGATAAATTCCTTGGTTTCAGCGGGAAAATAATTTATTTCCACATTGCTTGGAGGCTTCAATTATTCATCACCTGAGCTGCATGGTGGTAGAATCATCCAATCTCCTTTATCAAAATAGGTGAGAAACTAATGATACTGTTTATCTACAGGCTAATACGAGGGCTCAGCTCTTATGCTAGACAGTGGAATGCAAGTACCATGTTGATTATTTATTGTCTGCTTTAATAGTTTAATTTCAAAGCAATGTTTTTCTCATGTTATATGAAATAGAATTGTCTTACGTAGAAATATAATTAAGTGGGTCTCACAATTAAAAAGAAAAAAAAAAATGCTTGCTCAGATTTCGATGTATGTGTAACATGAGATAAGATTCCTTATGTAACATGAAAAAAACATTTCTCATAATTTCATTATGCTGCCATGAGTCTTTTTGCGTTGCCCTTTGTGTTATGTCTGGGAATGTTAGAAATACAAAACCCAATTTACCAACTCCACCTTTGGAAGACAATGTAATTGGTGCACCAGCTCCACCAATGAAAACATGTTATGATAATGTGTTAGGCAGACAAGTGAGAGAATGAGATTGAGATGAGCATAATCTGTCATCACTATTACAACTTGGAGCTTGTTTACTATGCTGTGGGAGCAACTGCTCCCTCTCTAAATGTAAGAGGCAAAAAAGATTAGAGGAAATTTGAAAAAAAGAACGGGGTATAAATGAGAATTAATAATTAATAAATAAGTGTGATCTATAAATTATAATTATTAGATTCGCGAAATCAATTATTAAGATTTGATGTCAAATGATTCTGTCCTTATATATATATATATATATATATATATATATATAAAGAAAATAAAAATAAAAATAAAACGGTTGAAACTTTTAAAAAACAATGTAAAACATAAGTTTTGTTGAAAAAAATAAAACGAATAAGATGACGGGTCTTATTATTTTTGCTTCGTTATAACTAATACTATTATAAGATTTAACGCGAAAAATTGAAAAAAATAAAAAAAAAATGTTTAAACGAATTCCATATATTTTATGGAAAATATTATTCTCCTTTCACATCAGACAACTTCTCTCATTTTCTCTCACTTCGATTTTTGTATCCCATCTTTTTTTCTTCTTCTTATAATGGTGGAATCCACCTATTTTCTCTTTACAACATAAGATAATTATCTTATGTAAAAGGAGATTAATAAAACCTATATTTTATTCCTGGTCTTATCCACGGCCTTATTCATTTTGCTTATTTTGTCGGTTTCTCTATAACTTTTGTCTTCTAGATTATTTACAATATGTTACAATCTTGGTTTTATCAAACATAGCATAATGATTCACGATTAATCGGATAAGAAGCTTTTTAAAAAAGAATTAGAGCATCGCAATATCCTTGCATATAACCCCCCTTTTTTTAGGTAGAGTACTTATAACCGGTTTAGTTAATATGTCACCAATTTTATTTTATTTTATTAGCAATTACTTACGTAATTCCGAACCAAAAATGGTAATTGAATAAAACTTCTTTTTTTTAAATGAATTCAAACACCTTTACAAGTATATTTAAATATACTGCACCACTAGAGATAGCCTAGTGGTGTTGGGTGTGTTTAGGGTGTATTAAGTGTGCGGTTCGATTCCTAGCTTGTAATGTCCAAAAAAAAAAAATATACTAGGAATTTCCACCAAAAACAAAAAGTATATAGTACGAATAACATTCTACATACAATACCACTAACTACTTTCGAGCTAATATGCCACAACTAAACTACTTTCGAGCTAATATGCCACAACTAAACTACTTTTGAGTTAATATGCCCACTAGTTTGACTTAATTATTTGATATAGAATATTTTCAAAAATAAAAATGTAATTAATGGAATACAAGTAACAATATACAACAGAGAAAAAAGATGTAAAATATAACAATAAAATCCTTTGATAAGATGTTCAGTGATATCCATTTCATGCAAATATGCATTATCAGAACCCAACGAACCATGATAATACTACACTAACAAGGGAAACAACTATGAACTAAGTAGTCTGCGCCCACATATAAAATGCAGCCCATAATAATCTGCTTTTTGTGTGAAATTGGATTGAAAGCAACACTAACAAATGACGTCAAAGAAATGTCTCTGCAATGCACACCAACTTAAAGAACGTAGCTTCAATCATTTACTGTGATAGCCACGTCAAAACTACCAACAAAGGAAGCATTAAAAGCAGGCCATAGCACACAAAAGCATCAATGCTTTCAAAAGTATTCACGTTGCTGAGAACAGTATTCCATAGTTGTCCAAAACTATCGTGTAGATATTCCTGCACAGTAAATCCAGTCTTACATGAGTTACAGCTTTACATGATAATAGTGCAAAACTAAAACTAATGGGGCATATATTAAATTCACCTCTGAACTTAAATTATTAAGTTGATCCTCGTCATCAGAGTTTGTGTCACTGTCGGAGATTGATTGATCCAAAGGCATAATGGATTTAGCTCCCCCAAAAGTTTTATTTGCCTGGGATCTGTAGGCTGAATCAGTGTGTATTGTTTCCATTACAGAGCCAAAGAAGTTTGTCACAGGTACCTAGAAAGAAGTGACACACTTCAATCAAACAAAGCATCCAAGAGAGTAGATATTATATCAATCATGATAATTATTGATAAATCATTTCAGGTAAAAAAAGTATTCAAAATGAGACTAATCCAATTAAACAAATAAAAAATTTGAGCAAAAAAGCAACATCTAAATAAGTTAAAAAAATAAAAAATAAAAAATAAAAAATAAAAAATAAAAAAAATCAAATCAAATCAAATTTCAGATCTTTATATATAAAAACTAATTCAATCCAAACCAAATATTACTTGTTCTCACTTAAGAACTTTCTTATTATATTCCATGCCAAACTTAATTACAAGACTTAATTTTGTATATATAATTTGTAAGATTGATAATTAATTTTGATTTGCATTTAAAATTTAGATTGGTATTTTAGTGTATTTTGATAAATTGGTTTGAATTTATATTTGTTAAATTTCAGTAAAGATATTAAGTTTCACCTACCCCAAAAAAAGTAATTCAGTTTTGTAATTGATGTATTTTGACAAATTTGAAATTTTACATTTCAATGAATTTGAATATTACAAAAATTTGAAAAACAAAGCCAATTCAAACAGATTTAAATTGGTTTGAATTAGATTTATATTTTGAATCAAATTGATAAGATGTTATTATTAAAAAAATTGATTGAATTGTATTGATCAACTTTTTTTTCCTCAAAACCGATCTAATCCAATCCATAAATATCCCTAATTACATGTAGCGAAGCTTGTAAGCACTGAGCTTAAATCACCCGTCCACAACTCGGCACGAAGAAATATACAGATATTGCCAAAAATTTTGAAACGACAGTAAAGCATATTAAATACAGTAGCAGAAACATATTAAAACAACATATCCGTCCCTATATAACATTGATGGGTCCGAAAGTGGTGAGTAGGTTAGCTTGTTTGTTAGGGAAATCTTCTAGAATATTCTTAGAGAAGATAATAAAAGGAGAGGGAATGTGTGGAGCGGGGTAGGCATGGATTAAGCGAATATTTGGGGGAATTGGGAATCTCTCGGAACCTAGGTGTGTTGGTTCTAAGGGTGAGCTTTTGAGTTTACTTTTCTGCAACTAGTGTTTGTAAGGAGCTTGTCTCCATTACTGTCTTCTTCAATTTCAGATTAATAATATTAGGTTTCATCAATTTGATATCAAAGCACTCCCGATCAAGGGGTGCTTCTGGTCCAAACCTTTGAGAAAATGAAAGCCACGAGAGGAATCAGCAATTCAGAGCTCAAGGAAATGTTGATGAAAAAGGTGAAAATCATGAATGAAGCATTAGAGAAGATGATGCAGAGCGTTAAAAAAAATGGAAGAAAAAGAAGGAAAGAAAGAAAAAACATCAGCTGCCGATGAGGAAAAAGGAGAAGATGATGTAGAAAAAGAAGAAGAGGAGGTTGTAGGAGCAGAAGAACGAGCTTGTAGGAGCCGAGGACCGAACCCTAACTGTGTTGATGGAGGGAAGGTGAGGTGGGAACCCAAGTGACAATAGGAGGGTCAAAGTCAACGGCGAAAGGTGGAAGAAGTGACGGCTCACATTTTAGGGGATTGACATTGGAAGAAGACGAGGTAGAAGGGGAAGAAAAAGATGAAGCAGAAGGAGAAGCAAAAATCAAAGAAGAGGAAAAGGATAAAGAAGAGGGTACAGTTGCATAATACAGGGAATACTGTGAGCTACTGTCGGCGCTACTAGCACCTTTTCTCAATGGCTTGAAGGAAGAAATTGGAGATGAGGTCGGTTTGCATGCGTTGACAGATTTGGAACAAATGATGATGATGGCGCAACGAATTGAGGAGAGGGACGAAGTGTTGGAGAAGATAACTCAGACGCTGGGTCGAGAAAGTGGATCTCATAATTCTGGGCCTGGATTGAACCATCAAACACGGGTTGCACCTATGACCCATACTAACTACCAGGGAAGGGAAATACATGGGGGTGCTGAATAAGATTGCGATTTGAGCTTAATGATATTACATGTGGGTCCAATTCAAGAAGGAAAAACAGAGGAGTTAGGCCTCACTTATGGCCCAATGAACTAAACCCTACACAAAAGCAGGTTTTGACTAAAGAAGGTGAGGGACAAGGGTCAATGCAAGGAACTTTTGTAGGTAACGCTGCAGACAGTGATGGGCGTGGCACGCGCTTCAGGCGGTTGTCGTCGGAGATGGTGGATCACCAGCGATAGAATCTCTGTTTTAGGTGCAATGCACATTTTTCTGTGAACCAAATATGCAGGAATCCACAGTTTCTGATGATGTAACTGGGGGCAGGAAGCAAAGTCGAAGATTTGGGGGAAGATCTTTCACGCGTCAGTGGGGAGGATATGGCTATGCGGTTGAGTGTGCACACCATCATAGAGGTAGCATGTGAAATATGAGGTGTGAACATGTCAAAATTTGCTGCAATGGAGCAGACCCGTATGCTTGCAAAAACATTGGCCCAAAATGGTGTCCCTAAATTTCAGAACTCAGTTTCTTCAATTTGTATCAAAAATGAGCCGTGGTGAGTTGATTATTGATGACAATCAAGTTAAAGAGACTACATTATCTGCACCTGGTGATTGGACAGCAGAACACCAGCAGCAATAAAATCATGGACCTGATCATGGGTGAATGAGTTTACAACTGAAGGACAGGAGTATATATTGGTTGATGATCAGTGGGTTAATCAATTCTCAAAGTTTTGAATGGGACCCGGGTGGAAGTTCTTTCACATCACCTATCATCTCTCTTCACCTTGAGGATAAGGTTAGTTTTGAAGGGGGAGTATTGATGGATCTAAAAGTGATGAGTAGGTTAGTTACTTTGTTAGGGAAATCTTCTAGAATATTCTTAGAGGAGAGAATAAAAGGAGAGGGAATGTGTGGAGTGGGATAGGCATGAATTAAGTGAATATTTGGGGGAATTGGGAATCTCTCAGAACCTAGGTGTGTTGGTTCTAAGGGTGAGCTTTTGGGTTTATTTTTCTACAATTAGTGTTTGTAAGTAGCTTGTCTCCATTACTGTCTTCTTCAATTTCAGATTAATAAGGTTTCACCAAACATGCAAGCAGCTCATCTTTGTTAAAGGGTCACAAACCAGTAAACAACCTAACATAAATGGGTATAGATTTTTGCTTGTTTACTACTCCATAGAGGTAGTCAGGTAGTTTAACAAAATGATCTATACAATAAATTTGATATTTGAATGGAGGTGAATAATAAAAAACATTGTACAAATAGATAAGCTAGAAATTTGGAGCTTGATTTATGAAAGGCATCACTAAATTTCATGACAGGAATCCAGTTTACACCATATAATGTCAGAAAAGTGTCAGATAGCAGCAAAGTGTGCAAAGCAACTGATCTAATTATTTACCAAAACCCCCAACTGATAATAAAGAAAACTAGAGTCCTCACCACATAACGATCAAATTAATTTTATAAAACAGAGCAAGAGATTCAAAGTATGTCCATAACTTTATTACCTCCTCTAAATGGCGTTGGTATAGGTCCATTCTGTAATATGCAGTTGACATCAACAACTTTGGATTATATGAATTGAAAAGACTGCAAAGAAAACACAAAAATCCCAGAGTAAACAATCTAGCCTTCAAAAGAATATAATGCTCCATTGCTTGACATGCTCCAAACAAAATTTCAATGTTGGGCACTTCAGCTGCTCGACTACCAACGTTCTTAACAAATAAGAGGGGTAATTTTTTTTTTCTTTGTGCATTTACAAATGATAGAACATATGAAAGCTGTTTTACCAAAAATGGGTCAATTGAGTTTTTAAATTTTAATCAGTCTAAATCATTGGATTTTGAAGAGAACTGTTGCAACCCAAGATTAAGAAACAGTGAGAAGAGAGTCGAGGCAATTTTGGTGTAAACACACATACTATATAGATCTACACTTGATAGCGAGAAAAAAATATATATTAATCTGAAAAGCTTACAAAACAATTTTCGCGTACCTGCTCAATGAGGCATTGTCATACATATTCAGCCTCTCAAAGAAGGCAAGGGTGTAGAATGTAAAACGGTCAACAACTGAAACACCAACCTGTATTATATTTTAAAGAACAAGAACAGAAGACGATTTTAGTTGTGCAGAACCTGAACCTAAACATGAAGAAAACCAATGGATAAACTGTAGCAAATTATGTCAAATAATTGTGTGAAGGATGCACAAAATGGTTAACACTATTAAATTCATTCATACATCTGAATCCAAGTGATGTGAATATGAATTCTCTCCTTTCATGCTACTTCCAATTGCCAAAACACCTGGTGAATGAAGCTGCCAAGCTCAGAAAAAGGAGAACCAAGTCAACAACAAAACTCAGGGAAGAATAATTAGCTAGACCCAAATAAAAAAAATAAAAAAAACTTATTATCACATAATAAGAAATTATAAATTTTAGGACACTAATGAAACAAACTGACTTGCAACGACCTATACATGTTAATAATACATACACTCTAAATGCTTTATCAATTTAATAAAGGCAGATTGCAAAACTAGATTAGGAGAAGAAAAGAAACAAAAAACAGAAGCACACTGGGTGAAGTCTAATTCTTTGCATTTCATAATATGAAGTTTAAGATAAGGAAAATATGCTATACAATTAGTCCTGCAGGTATATATGTTTTCATTGAGATAAAGTTAAAAATTCAAGTCTCAGTATAGGATATTTGTAAATCCTGTTTCATCCAGATTATGTAATTGCCAAAGCAATGCTCATGACTGAAAGCAAAGTAACCACCATTTATGCAGAAGGCAAATATTTCAGAATAGACTCTTGCTTTCTTTATATCTTCATGCATATCCTTAACCATCAGATTATAAGCCATTCAACAGCTTCAAAACAGCCTAACAACAAAGAAATAAGTGCAACTCCAAGTTTCAGACTTCTAATACCCCAATACCCGTACTGTTTCACCAATGATTGAAAATATGATCTTCGCACCAACTGCAAGGACATCACTCAACAAAATAAAATCTAACGACAAACACAAGGCTGCATTTAACTTAAGGTGGATATCAACTCTAAGACAAACATTTTGCACTTCAATGGTAGTGTTTATTGAATCTAGACAACTAATACTCAAGATAATTTACATTGACACTTCATGAGAATTGGCATAGGAGTTTTCTAGAAATGGAAACCATCAGTTCAAAAGCAATTTCAGACCTGTGAGAAGAGAGTCGAGGCTTGGCAGGTGTCTACCATTATCAGCAGCTCCTTAAACCTAACAAATCCCATTATGAATAAAAACTGAGTTCTTTGTCCAACAAAGAGATTATGATTTGATGATTACAAATGTCAGTCACTGATAAATATAATTATAAAGCCAACGTTAAGATATAAGACTCCTACAATAATTTTATTACAAAAAGTTTAAGTTTCATAGAATATTTTTCATAAAACAAAAATATAATCTTGAACTCATTGAACCATATCAGTAGAATCTCCATCATTATATGTAGCCATCCATATCTCCAATAATGATAAAGCATATGCAGTCAGAGCCCTTATTCTTTAGTCTATATGTTGAGGGATTGTTCCATTCATTTCCTCTTTATTTTTGTTGTTTTCTGTTTTGTACGTTTGTTAAACAGTAAAAGGTTGAGGAATCATTATGATAGGAATAAACAGTAAAAGGTTTATAATGGGAAGGAGCATATGGAATTGGGGCATGTTTGAAATGTGTTTTTAAAAACAGTTTTTTATTTTCAGACAAAAAAAACTTGTTTGATAAAGTCTGTTTTGTAAAAGTAGTTCTAAAAATTATAACTATTTTTAGTTTTTAGAATCAAATTTAGAGAACATATCTAAATTGTTTTTATTTGTGTTTTGGTTTTTGACTTTCAAAACAAAAACAAAAAACACCTATTTTATTAACTATTCTACAAAACAGTTTTAAGAGCAAAAAACACAAAACACAATCAACCAGACCCTTGGTTTCCCCTCCATGCCAACATGGGTAGTGGATAAAGAAGGGGGTATCTAGGAATTGGGGCACTGGAAGGTCTTGGGAGAGTCCAGAGTCTTCAGTACTCTGGGTTATCATTTTCTTTTCAGCAATATCATTTTCTTTTCTGCAACTTTCATATCATGTAATTTTCTTCCTTCATTGGTGTTAGTACTGTTCTTGCTGATTCCATTCAAGAATCAGCAATAATTAATACAAATATTTTCTGGCCTTTAATGTGTTATGGTTCTGGTTTTATCCTGTAAAGTGCCAATTCAAAACAAAAACTTAAGTAGTTATATGAAAGCACTTTAATGGATTTATATTTTATATTATATTTCTCTAATATGCCCCCTTACACAAAAGCTCATTGAACTTGAAGGGTAGACAATGCACAGGTCCACCTACCCATGCTAAGAAACTCTACAATATTTAATTATTTATTAATAGAATGGAGGCGATGAGGATCAAACTTTAGATCGCTTGTTCATAAATGCTCTGATACCATGTAAAACGTCAATTCAACCTAAAAACTTGAGCTGTTAGATGAAATCACATTAATGATTTTAGATTTTAAATTATATTTCTTTAACAGATCCTAACAAATGATATAAAAGTTCTCAATCTGGGGGGTTATGTAACACAAGAATGGAGGTTTGGTTTTTAGCTTGGGAGGAAAAACACAAAAGATGCAAGGAAAGGAATGAAATGGCCTCGCAACTCCTTCATGGAATTCTTCACAATCATGAAGAGAGAAATTCTAGATCAGAGAAATTGAAATCGCGAAAACACGAGGACTGTAATATGCAAAGCCATGGTGATATGAACATTAGCCACCACCAATTCCAACCTTTGCCACTAATCAAGGGAACAACGCTCACGATATAGTGAGTAGTAATCTCATTATGCATGTTCCCAGGATCAAGATTAAATGGGCGAAGTCAAAATTGGCTCCGATGAAGGTTTTTGTATGGTCAAAAGAGAAGGAAGAAGGGGGGAGAAGCAACAAAACCATGGTAGCAGATAGGATTTCAAGAAACCCAACCATTGTGCCACCATTATTGAGCTACTAGACTTGGTGTTTCACAAGGAGGAAGGTGGGTCTTCAACATGCAGTTATGAGTGGAAGTTGCAGCTAGGAATGCAAGAAATTTCAAGGAAGGATAAAATTCATCAAAAAAGGGAATACAAAAATTGGGCAAGGTGTTTGATGGGCCTGCAAGTGGTGAGTGGGTTAGTTTGTTAGGGAAATCTTCTAGAATATTGGAGAGGGAATGTGTGGAGTGGGACAGGCATGTATTGAGTGAATATTGGGGATTTAGGGATCTCTTAGAGCCTAGGTGTGTTGGTACTAAGGGTGAGCTAGGGGTCTTTTGGTGTATTTTTCTACAATTAGTATTTGTAAGAAGCTTGTCTCCATTACTGTTTCCTTCAATTTACAGCCAATAAAATTGGGTTCCATCATTTTGGTATTAGGGCATCTTTGATCCGGAGGTGCTTCTGGTTCGAAGTTGTGAAAAAATGAAAACCATGGGAGGAATCAGCAATTCAGAGCTCAAAAAAATGTTGTTAAAAGTGGTGAAGGTTTTCGATGAAGCAATACAGAAGATGGAGTCACAAAGCTTTGAAATTAAGGAGAATAATTTTGAACATAAAGAAGAAATTGAAGAAGAAGAAAGAGAAAAAGAAGATGTAACAGAACCAGAGGAAGAAGAAGGGAAAAATAATAAAGATGCAGAGGATACAGAAGAAGACACAGAAATTGGAGCAAACAAGATAAACAAAGAAAAAGAAGCAAAAGTAGGTGTTCAGATATATAAAACCATTAATGTAACATCACCCAATAGCTTAAGCTTTTGGGTTGAATTGGTTATTTACATGGTATCAGAGCCTCGTGTCCCGGGTTCAATCCTCACCGCCCCCACTTTCTCTTGTGAAATTTCTTAGCACAAGTAGATGGGCCTGTGCATTGTCCACACTTCAAGCCCGGTGGGCTCTCGTGTGAGGGGGCGTGTTAAGATATATAAAACCATTAATGTAGCCTCACCCAATAGCTTAAGCTTTTGGGTTGAATTGGTTCTTTACAGTAGGAAACAAAGAAGAAGAAGCGAAATCAAGTGCTCGAATCGAAAGCATGAGTAGCATTGGAATCGATTATAATTTATTGGTCACTACTTCATCCTCTGGTGGTTGTGTTTTCCAGATCGAGTATGTTGCCCAAGCCATCAAAAACATGACTGTTATTGGGATCAATCGCAAAGATGGGGTTGGGTTGGGCGTTGAGAAGCTTATTCCCTTGAAAATGATGCTACCAGGACGAAATAATACACTCCACTCATCGACACTTTGGGATGGCTGTAGTAGGATTAGCAGTTGCAGAAGAAGATGATGACAATGCAGTAGGAGAAGAAAATGAAGACGCAGAAGAAATTGCATAAGGAGAAGATGCAGAAAAAGAAGAAAAAGAAACCCAGCCATCGATTTGTATGCGAGTGGAGGAGAAAGAAGGGGCATTGGGGAAGATGAACACCAGTATGGGTTCGGTGACTGGGTCAGGAATTGGGTATCAAACGTGTTCGACATTAACAACCCGAATAGTAAATTCGTTTGGAAACCATAATGCTAGTGGAATGGGCTAGGGCACTAGAAATGGGTCCAATTCATTTCAGCAAGAGCCCACTAACACTAGTTTGTTAGGAAAATCTTCTAGAATATTCTTTGAGGAGGGAATAAAAGGAAACGGAACATGTGGAATGGGAGAAGCATGTATTGAGTGAATATTGGGGATTTGGGGATCTCTTAGAGCCTAGGGGTGTTGGTTTTAACGGTGAGCTAGGGATCTTTTGGTGTGTTTTTCTGCAATAGGTGTTTGTAAGGAGCATGTCTCCATAACTGTTTCCTTCAATTTATAACCAATAAAATTGGGTTCCATTAGTGTTGGTCTATTAAGCCAAGCCCAAATTATTGTCAAAATGTTTTTAGCCCAAACCAATGACATGGCTACCTTTTTTTTAACATATTGTGATGTTTAGGCTAGTGAGCCCATACTTCAGTATGAACCCAGTTGACCCAAAATACCTTGGTCCTATCCAGCTAACCCGTCTGTGTTTTTTTCCAAACATTACATAGAAACTACGTACATTGTGTGTCGATTGGATCGGCTGTTGCTATGATCCTTTTGCTTGTTTCACTTTCATCAGTTGGTACCATGTCACCATCCTACTTTGCATAACCGATGTTCTCATCCGCATAAGGTTCACCCTTGACAGCTTATCAGTTGCGGGTCACGCATGACCCTTATAAGGAGAAGGAAATAATCTAAGCCTGCTCTTGCAACTCTTGGCTGATGGCATCATTCTGTAATATCTAGCCAATAAGCAAAAGGTGTCTCTAGAAGGTTCGATTAGCTATGGTGAGCAAAGCATGACCAACTCGAAACGCATCAGGTCCCTATGAAGCACCGATTCGTTAAAAAAAAATTCTCCGATGTATCCGATACGCGTCCCAGACGGGTATGCTTCTGACACCGCTTTTGAAGTATCGAATGGGTCAACGGCTTCGATACGGTCAAATGCAGTTTTGAGAATTTTTAAAAAATGAAGGTCATTTTCTAACGGACGATTTTGGCCCAGAAATACCTAAATCGAAATCTCACTTCTATACTCACCTCATTCAAAGTTGTCTCTGTTCTTCCTCTTTGGACGCCGTTGCTGTTCCTCCTTCTTTGCTCCAGCGATCTCTTTCAGTGTTCCTCCTTGGCTTCGTGCATATGCTTGAACACTAAATCGTTCATTTTTTCTCTCGCTTTCCTCCAATACCCACATCCAAAGACTTCTTCAGTAGATACTTCTCTACTACTAAATCGTTATTTTACTGCTTTCTCTGACTCTTAGCTGATACCTCTCTCTATTTGCATGTGTTGATGTGCCTTTGGGTTTTGTCTCTGCTGGTTTGACTTTATCCTTTGTCTCTGTCAGTTATCCTCATTCATTCTTTTTTTCTTTAATATCGTATATGAAGAGCAGAGCATTAATAATATTGTATATCGTTTTTTTTTTTTGGAAACATTGTCTTTATCCTTTGTCTCTGTCAGTTTCTCTTTTTTATGTCATTGTTATTATTATTGTTCAATAATTTTTATTTTTATTTTGTATTATGTTAATTATTTATGCTTTTGTCTTGATTTTTTTTATTGTATGGATAATTTATTATTTGTGTTTATGATTTTCTTTTTATTATATTTTGTTAATGTGAACTACACTCTATATTAAAAATATTATTTAATACTAAGACATATCGGAACGTATCGAAATATTAGTATTTTTGAAGTAACGTATCAACGTCGCGTGCCGGGAACGTATCGAAAACACCATGTCGGTATCGGTGCTTCATAGTCATGTCCTCAAATCTTGGGTGCAAGCTAAAGCTTATGGAAGAAATCAATCAGCTTGATGGTGAATTGCATGATTGCAATGAGTACATTAAGAGCCCTAGATTATTTATTAATTTAGAATCTCTCATTGCCCAGTCACAAGAAGGGTTTAATTACCATAAAGTAGGAAGAGCCAAATTGTGTGATGAGAGGAAGTGAATATGAGGCAAAGAGAATGAACTTACAGTTGAAATTCAAAAGCTGAGAATAGAAGTTGAGAAGACTAAAAGGAGCCTTGATTAGGAAATTCAGGGTAATAATAACAGAGGACTGTATGTTCGTGAACTAAGTGTCACTATTCAAATACATCCAGACTTCATGTTTTCTGCCCCTGGTTGAGATTTGCTTTGTTGGTCTTATCATTGCAAGAGATTTGGTATGTCTCACCACGAACTGCTACAAGATGAAAGGCTACTTGGTTATATGGAGGATGTCTTTGGTTGATTGGGTAAATTGTTATCACAATTGAAGGATATTGAATGTGTAGAGAGCATATCCTTCAATCATATTGTGACCTATAGAAGGTTTGTTGAAGAGAAAAATGAGGATGTCAAAGAGCTTGCTTCGGTGTCTGCTGAAGCCACTGGACTTAATGAGGAAAATGTTTCAATCCTAAAGTTTAATTGAATTCAAACTGGCTAGAAGTCCAGAGGAAATAGTTGTAAATGAAGATAATGTGAGAAAAGTTAGTCTATATCCCAGTGATGTTGTGCTCCCAAAGTTTACAAATGGCCTATGCACACTTGAAGTTTCGCCTATGGATGGCCAGAAATTTACAGAAGCACTCCATGCTCATGGAATTAATGTTCGCTATATTAATCCAGCCTATGTTTAATTTCTAAGGCAGTCTCAATCAGGTAAAGGTTTAAACTAGGAAGGGGCATAGAGAATTGGTTTTCCCTCCATGCTGACATGGATAACTCAATCAGGTAAGAGAATATTTGGGAAGATCTTTTACGATTATTTGGCTATAGGTTATATAGGTTATATAGGGGTAGCAGGGTATCTTGGAATTGGGATATTGGATGGTCTTGGGAGAGTCCAAAGACTCTCTAATACTCTGGTATATCATTTTATTTTCTGCAACTTTCATATTATGTAATTTTCTTCCGTCATTGGTGTATGTACAGTTCTTGCTGATTCCATACAAGAATCAGTCTTAGATTCCTGTTTTCAGGCTTTTAATCTGTTCTGGTATTGGTTGGATCCAAACACATTATTTTACCTTCTTTTTGCAAGTTTTTAACTTCGTCTCAATAAATCTTACTTTATTATTTAGAAGAAAAAAATTATTTTTTCATTTCATGAATACAATTTACAATTCAAAGGTCACGAATAAAAAGATGAATAAGAATCCATACCTGCGCTTCTCTTTCATTTGTTTCACAGCATCAGCTAAATCATGACTTTGAAGCTCTTCTGAATCCTGAAACTTCAAAAACTCATCACCTCCATGCCCAGTCATATAAAGAAGAATATGACTTCCTTCATCACTAAGAAGTCGCTTGGACCTCGGAACAGCAGTCTCATGACGACCAGTTAGCACCCGTAGAAAGTTTTCCACTGTCACTTCATATCCACGATAATCTACCTGAGTGATTGCAGGCAAAAATGATCATCCTCTAAAAGATACTACATATTAAGAGCACTAAAACAAGTAGAAAGAGACAAACATTTTCTCTTATAAATATTATAAGAGATAGAAGTACAGTTAAATGAGAGAAGAAAATTAAACATGAGGTCTTTTCAAGTCATAACTGCTTTGCACATTATAACACTAGTACTTTATCTGCTAAGAGAAAATAACATTTATTGTGAAGATGAACACAAAAACATTACATGTTAGTAAAATACATTTTCTGAATGTGAGTACATTTCTCAGGAAGACATACTTAGGTAACTATCATAGAAGTTACAGGCTTACTGCTAATAATTTATTCCAGTATAACTGCTTAAAAGATGAACTAAACAACTTTATGGCAAAATATGACCTGACTCATAAAGTTCTCTACCATACCCAAGCTAGCTCAGTTATTAGGCTGATACAAACCTTGGGAGAACATCAACACAAAAGCTAGCTCATGAGATAGGAGAGCACAAAGTCCATATAAACACCACACCAGAACCTTATGTTTCCAATGTGGACTCCAGATCTCATACCTTGGAGTAGGATCGTAACATTCCACCACGCTCCGCAGCCCCAGCGCCACGCTGGCTGGCTTTACGCTAGTCTTTTTACTAGTCCTAGGCGAACACTGCAATGCCAGTGTCACCACCCACGCCACTCGATTGCAACCGGGAGACATAGTGGAAGACTCTTATACCAATTGATACAAACCTTGAGAGAACCTCACCCCAAAAGCTAGCTCATGAGGTAGAAGAACACAAAGTCCTTATAAACCCCGCACCAGAACCTTATGTTTCCGATATGGGACTCTGATGGGTTTATGGGCTGAAAGGGATGAGACGTTTGTTAGTTTGTTAGGAAAGTTTCTAGAATATTCTGAGAGTTTGAATATGTAAAGAACCAATTCAACCCAAAAGCTTAAGCTATTAAGTGAGGGCCTCTTTAATGGACACCCCCCCCCCCCCCCCACGAAAGCCCATTAGGCTTGAAAGGTGAATGATGCATCCGGCCCAGCCTACCTGTGCTAAGAAATTCTATAAGAGAAAGTGGAGGGCGGTGAGGATCGACCCATGACTCCGAGACTCTGATATCATGTAAAGAACCAATTCAACCCAAAAGCTTAAACTATTATGTAAGGGCCTTTTAATGATTTTATATATCTCTAACAGGATAAAAGGAGAGTGTGTGTGTAGTGTGAGGGGCCTGTATTAAGTGAATTTGGAGTGGGATTAGGGGAAGGATTTCTTTGGGGCCTAGGTGTTTTGGTTTTGGAGAGTGACTGAGGTCTTTTGAGTTTATTTTCTGTATTTTATCTTTGTAAGGAGCTTGTCTCCATTTCTGTTTTCATCATTTTCAGTTTAATAAAATTAGATTCCACCAATTTGGTATTAGAGCACTACAATCCTGGGAGTGCTCTTTGATCCAGATCTATATAAAATAAAAAATAAAATAAAATGGGAGGAATTAGTGATTTAGAGCTTAGGGAAAATTTGAAAAAAAATTATAAAAGCGTTCGAAGAGGCAATAGAGAAGATAGAGAGGCTTAGGCTTGAATACGAAAAGATGAAGTCTCTGAGTTTTAAAAAATTCCAAGAAAAAAAAAGAAAAGAAAGAAGAAAATGCAAAAGCAGCAAAGGAGAAAGAAGAAGACGATGAAGAAGAAGAAGCAAAACACAAACAGAGAATCTGTAAAGAACCTTGGGATACACCACCCCAAAAGCTAGCTCAAAGGGTGGGAGTGCCCAAGGCCACATTAGTTGCCCACACAATCAATGTGGAACTATATATCTCAACACGCCCCCTCACGCAAGAGCCCTTTGGGCGAGAAGCGTGGAATTGCACAGACCCAATTTTTGGTTTACCTTTTTGTGTTTTTTATTTTAATTCCACTTGAAAGTGGAGGGCCGTGAGAATCGAACTTGTGACCTTATAGTCAACGAACCTTGGGATACAACCAATGTGGGACTATATATCTCAACAGAATCGAAGGAACAAAGGAAAAAGAAAAAGAAGATGAAGAAGAAGACGAAGGAGAGCGAGACGAAGAGAAGAAGCCAGAAATCATGAAGACACAACCTTCAACAGAGAAGTAGGTTTCTTCAACTATGGGTGTTGGTGGTGGAAAAATAGTGCATGACGCTAAGAAGGAAAAAGGAACCAGGACTTCTAAGATGAAAGAAGAGTCGTCAGCACCAGGTATGATGCAAATCAAGGATTAACACGAAGATGGGTCTCAAGGGCCAAAAAAGATTTTCAAGTTCTTTTCCATTAATGAGGGTGGTTCAAATCCAGATATCACAGAGGAAAAAAAGAAGAAAAATATAATGGGAAAACTGCAAGGAGAATTAAACATGGAGGCAGAACCAAAATATGACTCAAAGAGAGAGGTTTTCTGTCTTAGCTATATACAAGATGTGCTCAAGATCGTGAAAAGAGTAGAGAGGATGGAGGTGCAAAAAAAAAAGGTCGCAACTGGAGTAGAGGGTATGTATGTGGAACAAAACCCACCAACGGCTCCACCACCACTGTAGTTGCCGGAACCAAGCACTCACGCGGCAAATGAGGGGTCATTTCTAGCGGAACAGCCATGGGTGTGTATTCGAGAGATACATCGCAAAGGAGATCGAGGGAAGGTGCAGATTGGGTCAATGTGGGACCTAATCTTGGATATGGTCAAGGAAAAGGGTATAAGCAAGGATAATGGAAAGGGTTGGGTCAAAAGTCCGATGGGCCAAGCCTAATTTTTCAACAATGACTTGCAAAAAATGATTCGAATATATGATACATTTTTTGGGCCTAGATGTCAGCTTTGGTGGGGCTTGGGTACAGCCAAGGGGGTACGCATATTTCCACCTCAAGAGAAACCCTTGCGCTGCACTGTCTACGTTCATGAGTCTACAATCGAAGACTGTTTTTTGGGTAGCAAGGCCATTGAAAACAGGGCAATCTGCATCTAGCTATGGGACCCAGGTGGAGGCTTCTCTCACATTTGTTCCTCACCTCTTTCTTCACCTTGAGAACAAGGTGAATTTTGGAGGGGAAGTATTGATGGGCCAGCCTATGGGCTGAAAGGAATGAGAGGTTAGTTAGTTTGTTAGGAAAGTTTCTAGAATATTCTGAGAGTTAGGATAAAAGGAGAGTGTGTGTGTAGGCTGGGGGGCATGTATTGAGTGAATTTGGAGCAGGATTTGGGGAAGGATCTCTTGGGATCTCTTTGGGGCCTAGGTGTGTTGGTCTTGGAGAGTGAGTGACGTCTTTTGGGTTTATTTTCTGCATTTAATCTTTGTAAGGAGCTTGGCTTCATTTCTGCTTTCATCATTTTCAGTTTTATAAAATTAGGTTCCACCAATTAGGTTAGCTCGTTTGTAAGGAAAGTTTCTAGAATATTCTGAGTAAGGATAAAAGAAGAGTGTGTGTGTAGTGTGGGAGGCATGTATTGAGTGAATTCAGAGTGGGATTTGGGGAAAGATCTCTTGGGATCTCTTTGGGACCTAGGTGTGTTGGTCTTGGAGAGTGAGTGGGTTCTTTTGGGTTTATTTTCTGCATTTTATCCTTGTAAGGAGCTTGGCTCCATTTCTATTTTCATCATTTTCAATTTCAAAAAATTGGTTTCCATCCGACTCCAAGTCTCATACCTTGGAGTAGGATTGTAACATAGGCTCATTATGTAACAAAACCTTGATATTGATTTTAATTACATGATAGCACCACATGAGCCTCCATATTAAAATGTATGCATAATTAAATATTATTATGTTTCAATCTATTTATAAATCAAATTGAAGGAAGATCTTAAAACTTTTAAATATTTCATATCTCAAGCATACAGATATAGTCAACGAAGCAAACATACAGAACCTCTGCTCAAACTCATGTACTATTAAAAAACAATGTTAAAGTTACTACAAACAATGTTAAACTTCTGGATAAGTTTCACCCAGCTAATCTGCAGCTTTGGAAACTAAAGTTACTACAAACAATGTTAAACCACATTTTGGAATGTAATGTTTAGATGAAGAAGTATCAAATATACAAATGATTCACCTTAGTGTTTGTGATTTGTAGAGCAAAAAATCTAAGCTTTGTAATGAGACAGAGTGAAAGCTAATAATAGAGATCTTCTCTACACTCTATAGAAAATTCATACATAAAAATGCATACCTAAAAGCTCACCTCCACATTGTCCCCATATAGATTAAGTCTATGGTTTTCATTATTAAAAACTTGGGCAGGGTACTTGTTTCTTGCATTACACGCCATGTCATCTGCTAGCATGAGTATAATCCTCTCATCAGGTATTCCTAACCGCTTAACTGTTCTGAATGAGACAGAATTCATAATGACCAATCGATCATAACCATGCATGATTCAAACAATCTAAAATAAGGCTAAATTAGATACTTACCTATATAATGACAAAGTATTGGCCATATGTCGATAATTAAACCTGAAAAAGGAAGCAGCACATTTAGTATAGTAACTAACCATGTTATACCACTGAAACCTCAAGGTACACTGTAGTTCAAAGTTCCTATATAAGCCACATAATCAGTTGCAGAAGTGCTCAGTAAAAAACTAGACAAAAATACATTTTTACTAAGTATTCTATTTTTCATTTAAAGAGGCGAACCGGAGCAGTGGTAAAACTATTCCTTCATGACTGAAAGGTCATGGGTTCGAATCCAGAAGACAGTCTTTTTGCAATTATGTAAGGTTAAAGCTGCATACAAGTATTACCTCCGCCCCACACTCTCTAGTCGGGTTTAACGAGGAGTGGTTATTCTATTTTTCATTTAAAATTATTTTTGCCAAAGATGCTCCGCAAAGAATTAGCGCATATATGGGAATAGTTTGTTTTGGAGAAGTAATCAGTTCTTTTTCTCAAGCTCTGTCACGAAGTTCTTGATTAAAAGCTCTTTTTGGCCCCAAAATAAGCTAATCGAAACACGCAATTAGACAAAAACTAAAAAAAATAAAGTAAAACACTTTGTAGTTTTATAAGGGTTTTTTTACTCATAAAATCATAACTAAGACCCAATTGAGAAATATAACAAAAAGAGTAAATACCCTTTTTCGGTCCTCAGCAAATTTTACGATGCCCGCTTTAGTCCCTAGCAAATAAAAAGGCTATTCGTGGTCCCTAAGAAATTCAAAGTGGATCCATTTTAGTCTTTTTGAGGGACTAATGTGGGTCTTTTTTGAATTTGTGAGGGACCATGATTTCAACTAAATGGATCCATTCTGAATTTCTTAAGGACCACGAATAGCCTTTTTATTTGCTAGGGACTAAAGCGGGCATCGTGAAATTTGCTGAGGACCAAAAAGGATATTAACTCTAACAAAATTAAGTAAGATATTGTTGTTCAAAAGAAATACTTATAAATTAAAGATGAAACCCTGATTTACCAAAAGCGAGATGTGCAGACCAAAACAGCCCAATTATTAGTGTGCATCGTAGTCTCAGAAGAAGATGACGAGTATGCTACAGAGTAGCTGATATTTCTCAGAAATAACAGCAATATCACCAGTACTTTCATAGGGATCTTTAAAAAACTTGAGATGATAAATCCCATGCTTTTATCCAGTTATTCTCACATCAACTTTACCAAATTTATTGTTCTTTTACACATGCAATTGATTGTCTGTTGCTTCTTTTCTTCCAGTACCAAGGAAATGCTCAATAACTGCAAACAAAATTCAGCCACCACAAATCAATCCCAAAAAACTAATATATCTTACATTTGACCTAATCAAATATCCGATGCAGCTTAAAATACTAACAAATTAAAACAACAAACTAGAATGATTCCGTTAAAAAAATCAGAGCTTCTTAGCTTTATAATTCATTAAAAGTTATTAGGCATGTTAGCCCACACAGCAGCAAACCAGACGCCACTGATAAATAATAATCCATGAATCAAGATTAACTAAAACCATAAAATACAATCTCTGAAAAAGTTAACGAAAGAATGAGAAAACAACCTAGAAAACTGCATATTAGAATGTGAAGCAATTAACTCTTTCAATGCCTAATTAGCAAATTGATTTTCCACTATCAATACCAGTCAAGTTAAATTGCCAATAATAGCAACCAGAGTTTGAATGCCGGAATGCCCCAGACCACATTACACTAAATTCCTCAACACCTGACTCACAAAATGACCAAAGCTTCAATTAATGGAATGGAACATGGTATTACAGAGGAGGGTTTAAGGAAAAAAAAAAATATATGCATGAAACTAGAGCATACAAGACAAACGAGGAAACAGCAAAGCAACAAAACATGAAAGATAGTTTTCACTTGACTAAAGGTTCATTTCTAGAAATTAAAAAAAAAAAAAAAAAAATTAATAACAATTTTAAGCATACACTGTAAAATGAAAGCTAGGAGGATTTATGAAAATGCCTAGATATGTTCCTTTTCTGTTTTAGATTCCTGTGATGTTGCTTTGTAAGGATCATTTGGCTCATACAAACACGCACCTAATTGAGTTTGATGTCGGAGGGACTATAACTAAATTAGGGCTGGTTCATGCGAACGGCGTCGTTTGTGGCTGAATTTCTGTAGCGCCGTTCTGTGCTTCAGTTATTCCGGCGAGATCGACGAGCTCTGGTGATTGGTGGCAGGGGCTGATCGCTGGGCTGGTTGTTCCAAGTTCGGGCTGATCGCTGGCTGGTTTCCTTGGCCCGATGTACAGTTTAGTTTTGTAAAACTAGTTATCACACAAATATAAATTAATTAATTAATAAATAAAAGTCCCAAGCTAACAAAGCTTGTGGTCAAGGAGGCAAATCACGTGGGTTATGTTATTCTCCCTATCATTTTTAACTATAAGTCTGGTTTAGATAATCTAATAAACTTAGATGAAACTAGTGTATTACCCGTGCGTTGTATGGAGGAAAAAAAATCGATTTGTTTGTCTCGTAAACACTAACGCAACACATGCAAGTATATTGCTGCATTTTACATTGTCATGTGGTCATTCAAAAATTACGAAGTTTGACTCAGCTTCTGTAAGTATTTTTCGGAGATGATCAGAACATTTAACAACATTTTTGTATGATATATCTGTAATAGAGTAAATCATAATAAACATAATAACGTAACATGTGAACAAAAAATATTTAAATGATGTGCTTGACATGAAGGTAATAAGAAAGATGTCGAACCTACATTTGTGATCCTTCGTCCTCTTAGAAATCAATGAGTAATAATCTACAAATGAAAGTATGAAAAAAAAAACATGAATATGTGAGTACAAATAAAAAGTGTTATAACAATACATCAATATATTGATGACCATGGAATACTGTTTGTTCAAAAATAACAGTTAACAATATACCATGTGTGCATGAAATACGATTCCTGCATGAGAAATAAAAAGTAGCAGTTAAAAAAACCAAACGTCAAACCAAACAGCAACGAAGATAAGTAAAAAAGCACTCCATTGCCATTTTTTTTGTCTTTACCTGTACCAAACAGTGATGTTATCTCCTTGTAGACAGAAGAAAATTTACTACATTAATCTTTGAAATACTTCCTTGTAAACTATATTAAGGGTACTATTTGTAACACAACCATTTTCATCAAGTATACCCCCACAACCATTTTTTATGGAAATAGCAATCCATAAAAAAACACCTATATTGAGATCAGATACAATAAAATTATACCCCCAAGGAATTACTGAATAACTTATTAGAATTGATATGACTGATATGGACGGTCCAATACTAAATAAACGAATATCCCCTCTTGATGGAATGATATTCTCTTTGAAAAGCAGTTTTGTTCCGTCTGCTAGAGCTTGAAGAACTCCAAAAGGGCCGGCGTATTCAGGTCCAATACGCTGTTGTATACTTGCAGATATTTCTCTTTCTAACCATACAATTGCTAGTACACTTATTGTGATTCCCAATACAAGAAGAAAAATGGGGGCAATATCTTCAATCCATGCCATGCTTGCTCTTTACTCTAGACAGTGCCACATATAATTGCCCATGAGTGAAGACAGACTTAGGGAGATAAATTGCAACATGCGAAAGAGATTGTCCTTGGCTCTTATTGATAGTCATGGCAAATAAAACAATAAGGGGGAATTGTCTTCTTTTGAAATTTATAGGAAATGTGTGACTTGATGGGTTCATCATCATTCTAGGGATTAACACAGTTTCACCTATATTACTTCCTGTAAGAACAATTGCCTCAACAACATGATTCCCCAATTTTGTAATGAGCAGCCTTGTGCCATTGCATAAACCTTTGGACTGATCAATATTTCTCAATAACATTACTGGAACTTTAACCTTCAAGGTTAATTTATAATCAGGAATCCCTGAGCACAAGAGTGTATTTAAGATCTCAGGTGTGAATTCATCATCCTTAACGGAGGAAGCCACATCTTGCTTCAGAATTTTATCTGAACTCAAAAATGTCCTTTCTTCACCAGGAATCATAGATATCAGGTGCTCGTTCAACATAGAAACATCGGACAATTTAGGAGTTAGAATAGCACGTTCTTTGAAAAATGTTGGATCTAGAATATTATCCAAGAGATTCGGATAAACAAAATTAACCATATCTGAAAGTGGATCTTCTGATTCTGTAATCAATAATTCATCTGGAATTGTTATCATAGATTCTTCGTCTTCATCATCTCCAAGATCACCATCCCCAACTTTAAGTAGCCACTCAGAAAATTCTTTTATTTCCTTCACATCATGAGTGGTACTTCCAGAATTAAGACGCATGTTCTTGGTCAAAGTTAATAAATGACAATGGAACCATAGATGAGAAGAATTTATGGTTGCATTTACTATCTCCTGTCTGTTGCCATGAGGAATGACAGGTAATATTTGCCGAAAGTCACCTCCTAGAACAACAATTTTTCCACCAAATGGCATATCAACGCAGCTCGTGTCAGAAAATCTAAGAACATCTCTAAGTGTTCTATCCAGAACCTCAAAACAAAATCTATGCACCATTGGTGCTTCATCCCAAATGATTAACTTCGTTTTTGACAGCAACTCAGCTATAGTAGAATTTGGCTTTATATTACACTTTGAATCTTCATTGATCTGAATAGGAATACGAAATCTAGAATGTGTTGTTCGTCCTCCAAGAAGCAGAAGGGAAACAATTCCGCTAGAAGCAACATTAAGTACTGTTTCAGCTTTTGATCTAACAGATGCTGAAAAAGTATTCCAAATAAATGTTTTTCTTGTACCACTGAATCCGTATAGGAAGAATAACCCTCCTTTACCAGCTCTAACTGCCAAAATGATTTTGTCATAAACAACTCTCTGCTAATCAGTGAGGGAATTCAATAGTCTTTGATGCTCTTCTCCCAATGAAAATCTATCATACATTAATTTATCAACCACTAATCGATTATGTATATCAAGCAACGATTCACTGGTGATGCGAGGCATTGATGGGTAATCAGAGAGTCATTTACCATTGCTCTGTAACACCTTATCAATTTCAGCAAGTGTTATGTTTTTTATACTTTCTTCTGTAAAAAGCGCATCTGAAAAACCATAAAATACAAAGAAAAAAAAGCTAAAATTAACAAAGAGAAAGGTATAAAGGAAAGAACAAAAGCGAAATAAATGATAAAGCAACATATGCTGAATTCGGGTAAAAAAAAAGCGAAATAAATAGTAAAGCAACATATACTGATTTCGGTTTTTTAAAAATATAAATGTGTTAAATATTATCATAACACGTACCTTGATTTCGTTCATAATCTAGAAGTCCTAAAGAATAGCAGGCATCTTTAAATGTAGGAAAAAACACGCCATTGATTGTTCTAAGATCTTCATAACTGGTACACCCCCCTTTGAAAAGTAAGCAACGTGCGAAGATAGGAATCTTCTCCATTATTGGCAGAAAAACGATTTATTCTCCCAATCGAAAATCCTACTTTTCTAGGATTCCATTCATGTGTTTGGTTTTTGTAAACAAATTCAGTCGGGTACTCTGCATAAGTTAGATGCCTACCTTCTGGATATTTTTTATTTGCATCCATCCAAGACTCAAAGATTGATAGTCTAGACTCCGCCCTTGTCTTGACATCAGAAATCGAAGCATTATCACTGAAAGTAATGTTCTTTTCATTGGGCAAGTGAAATGGCAATCTCTGAACATGGGGTGTCTGGAATGAATGTTAAATCCAAAAATTCTCCAAGCAGCTTCACATGCGGAGACATACCTATAATAAATAAATAATTGAAACAACAAAGTTGAAAAATCCTCAAAGAAGATACGTCGATTTTTTGGTGCATCAAAATCAGATTAGAGATAATTTTGAGTACCTGCGGTCATAAAACATTTTGATTTCATCTTCTGCATGATGAACAGCAGCTGTCACTCTATCATTCCCTTTGTGAATGTATTTAAAAAGATATTTAATGACACTTCTCTGGCAAGT